GAGTTGCTATGAACATTGATGTGGCTGCATCACTATAGTATGCAGATTTTAAGTCCACTGAATATACAGAGGAATGGGATAGCTAGGTCAAAAGGTGGTCCCAAGTTTCCTAAAGAATCTCCATACTGCTTTCCAGAGTGGATGCACCAATTTGCAATACCACAAGCAACGTATTAATTTACCTTCTTTCCCACATCCTCACTAACATTTATTGTTACTTGTATTCTTGATAACTGCCATTCTGACTGGAGTGAGATGAAATCTCAATATAGTCTTAATTTGCATTTCTCTAATTGTTAAATGTTGAAACATTTTTTCATGTTTGTTGATCATGTGTATTTCTTCTTTTGTGAAGTCTGTTCGGTTCCACTGCCCATTTGTTTATTGGAGTGTTTGATTTTTTGATATTAAGTATTTTGAGTTCCTGGAAATTAATGTTCTATCTGAGATGCATGTGGCAAAGATTTTCACCCATTCTCTTAGCTCTTTCATCACATTCTTGATTGTTTCCTTTGCTGTGAAGAAGCTTTTTAATTTGATGCCATTCCATTTATTCTTTTTGGGGTGAAGCAGAGGTGCTGGGGATTAAACCCAGAGCCTTGTGCAAGTGAGGCAAGCACTCTTCCAATTGGGCTATATCCCCAGCCCCATCCATTTATTGATTCTTGACTTTACTTCTTCTGCTTTAAGGGTCTTCTTGAGAAATTCAGTTCCTAAGCCAACCTAAGAGTTGGGCCTATATTTTCTTCTAATACGTGCAGGGTCTCCATTCTAATGCCCAGGTCCTTGACCTACGTTAAGTTGAGTTTTGTGCAGGGTGAGAAATAAGGGTTTAATTTTATTTTGCTACATATGGATATCCAGTTTTTCCAGCACCATTTTTTTTTTTAAAAAAAAAAGGAAGGGGGGGGAGAGAGAGAGAGAGAGAGAATTTTTTAATATTTATTTTGTAGTTCTCGGTGGACACAACATCTTTGTTTGTATGTGGTGCTGAGGATCGAACCCAGGCCGCACGCATGCCAGGTCAGCGCGCTACCGCTTGAGCCACATCCCCAGCCCCGCCAGCACCATTTTTTGAAGAGGCTATCTTTTCTCCAATGTATGTTTATGGCACCTTTGAAAAGGACGGTCTCTTCAATAATCTGTGCCAGGAAAACTAAATATCCATATGCAGAAGAAATGAAACTAAAACCCTATCTCTTCCCATATTCAAAATCAACTCAAAATGAATCAGATCTAAATGTAAGACCTGAAACTCTGTAACTACTAAAAAAAAATGCTAAATGTTTCAGGACATTGATCTGGGCAAAGATTTTTGGATATGGCCTCAAAAGTACAAACAAGAACAAAAATTGATACATGGAATTATATCAAACTGAAAATCTTCTGCACTGGAAAGGAAACAACCAACAGAGTGAAGAGACACCCCACAGAATGGGGGAAAAAAAAAATATATATATATATATATAAAAACTTTATCTTGATGAGGCACTAACATCCAGACTACCTAAGGAACTCAGTAAGATAAAAATAATTGATTTAAAAATGGACAAATAGTCTATATGAACATACATTTCTCAAAAGTTACACAAATGGCCAAAATGTATGTAAATTGCTCAATATCACTACTTTTCAGGGAAATACTAATCAAAATCAATGAGTCATTTCCCCACCTCTCCATTAGATCCCATTACAACGGCTATTTCAAAAAGAAAACGAACAAATGATGGTGAGGATATGAAGAAAGAGGAAACCTCCAAACACTTTTGGTAGAAATGAAAATTAGCCATCGGGGAAAATGGTGTGGAGATTCCTCAATAAAGTACACAGAGAACTACCATTATATCTCCAAATAAAGAGTATATTGCTCTGGGGGGGTCCAGTAGGTTCCAGACAGAATCCCCACCTTTGCCTTTCTCCCTTCTCTTCAACTACCTAAAGATCCCACCTCTTTCAAGTAGCATAGTATGACATAATCTAGACATCCTTATGTAGAATTTGTTCACTGTCAAGTTGACCTTGCTTACTTATTTACTTAGTCTTAACTGAAAGACTTTAAAAGACATAAGGACACCACCTATACAAATAGGCACTTAGTATTTTTATATCAACAATCACTCTCATGACAATCCTTTTTCAGTTATTCAGATGCCAACTCAAACATAACTTTTTTGAGTGTCTTTCCATAACTAAAAAATCAAAATGACAACAAATATTTTTAAAAGAAAGAAGTGTGCCAGGGCATTCATTGGTAGGGTGGGGTCACTCTTTTTTCTTTCAATTTATTTTTATTTATTTATTTATTTATTTTTAGTTGTAGACAGATTTTTATGTGGTGCTGAGGACTGAATCCTCATATGCACTAAGCAAATGCTCTACTATTGAGTCACAACCCCAGCCCCTAGGGTAGGTAGTTCTAAACCTAAGTTAAGAACAAAGTCACTTTGGTTTCAATCTCAAGTAATTTTTTACCTTATTCCAAAATACTATGCCTGACATCACTGAAGTAGGAAAAAAGGTCAAGAACAAGAACAAATGGTAGAATGAAAAAGTAATAAACCATTAGAAAGGACACTTCATTTATTTTCATAATTCATAAAATAATTCCAAAGGAAAAGTAAATGCTTTCAGAAAAAGTTATTTTGACACCAACTGGAAAAAAAAGTTCTTACTTTCTGTTTTCCCAATACTAAATCTTTTTCAAATCTTTACAATAATTCCCTACATATAGCATCCATGTGTTTATAAAATTACTTCTGACAGACACTTTAAAGTAATAGCACTAATGAGAGCCATTTTACATAAGTATACAATTTAGGTCCTTTGATATCAAGAGAGAGAGAGATAAGAAACATTTAATCAAAATTAAAACCATACAAAAAGTCTTTCATAATGTCTATAATAATTTACTTTCCCACCAACAGGATGTAAGAGTTCCCCTTTCTCTGCATCCTCATTAGCATTTATTTTATATATTTTTGGTAAAAGGCATTCTAATAGTATAGTGTTCCTCAAAAAGCTACCATACAATTCAAGCAATCCCAGTACGGAGTATATACCTATAGGAAATAAAATCAGTATGTTTGAAGAAAATACCTGCACTCCTATGTTTACTGCAACACTAGTCAAAACACCAGGATATGGAATCAATCTGAATGTTTATTAACAGATAAATGAATAAACAAACTATGGAATATTACTCAGCCATAAAGAATTAGAGTCAGCATGCAACTGTGATATTTGTATACATGTTTATAATAGCACAACTTGCAATACTTAAATTATGGATCCAGCCCCAGTGTTCTTAACAGATAAATGAATAAAGGAAATGTGGTATATACAATGGAGTTTTTTTCAGTCGTGAAGAACAAAAATATGTTATTTGCAGGAAAATGGATGAAACTTGACGGCATTACATTATGTGGATAACCCAGATTCAGAAAGTCAAGGGTCTTACGTTTTCTCTCATATGTGGAAGCTGGATAGGAAATGGAGAGACGATAAGGAGAATCTCATGAAAATAGGAGGGAAACTGGTAGGAAAAAAGGGAACCAAGGGAAGGAGGAGGGAAAAGTATGGGGAGAGGATGGGAGAGGTGACAGGGAATGAAATTGACCAAATGGTATATGCATATACAAATACATGCTACAATGAAACCCACTATCGTGTATAATTCTAATATATTAGTAATCTTTTTAAATCCTGTCACTGGTTACAACATGGGTAGCCATGGAGTTATTTCACATAACTTCATGTCAAAGAAAAATAAACACACATGATCCCACTCATGAGGAATCTTAAAAAGTTGATTTCATAGAAGCTGAAAGTAGAGTGTACGTATCAGAGACCAGGGCAAATAAGAGGGATATGGGGAAAGATTGGTCAATAGGTACAACAGTACAATTAGACAGGAGGTATAAATTCTAGTGTTCCATGGCACAATGATCTCAAATATAAATTTTTGCTTTAAAAGCAAAACAAGAGAGAGGACTCTGAATGTACTCACTAAAAATATGATAAAAGGTTTAAGGTGATAAACATGTAAATTACTGACTTGATCATAACCCAATGAACATGACTCAAAACATCACTCTGAACCTCATAAACATGCATAATTATGTATTAATCAAAAAATAAAAAGTAAAAAATAAACTAGGAGAAATGACAACATTTAATCAAAGAACCTGAAAATACTTCAACCCTAGGCTGGCATAAAATTTCTAAATATTTTTCTTGCCAAGGTCATCTGTTTTTCTAAAACACATACATGCAAAAACATTCATGACAGAAATTCTTACTCCAATTGAATAAAGTACATATTGGTGGCCATATAAATCAAGCCATCAAATAAATAGAAGTACTTTGCTTTAATTTTTTTTTAAATTAGCCTTCATGAGATCAAAGCAAATTTCAGAACCTTTTATCTAGGAAATTAAAAGGAGAACTACTGAGGTCCATAGGTCAAAGGGTTGGAAAAGCAAACTTTATCAAGCCAAATCATGGAAAACATTTATAATCTTAATCTCTGAATAGGATGGGAATTACCAAAGCTACCTCAATAGAAGGGACTTTCTACCATTATTTCCTACAACTCTGACTCTTCCTATTTTAGAAGTTATACACCATCATAATTAATCTGTGAATAAAAGTCACAAATAGAAGTTGTCATCCTCACCTAGGTTATACATTCTGAAGCAAAAATGGATTTCAGATAGAAGAGATGCAATCTCCATCTCTAACCAATTTACATGAATCTATTTCCCTTCTGAGTTCAAACGGCAGGGATGAGACCTATAATAGGTAAGTTCCATAAGGAGTAAATCTTCGAGAAGCTAAAGAATCCAAACTTTCAAACTGAGCCATATACATGTAAGAATTTTAATAAAATCTAAAAGAAACTGATTCTATTGTGTCTATGTGTGTTTATCTGTTTTCCCATTTCTAACTTCTTTATTTAAAAACAAAAAAGTGATGCACTGAATCTTGTATAAATGTCTTACCTGTTTGGCTTTTGAGTTCTTCCCAGATGAACTTTTTTCATTTGTACTCCCATCCATTCCTCTTAGAACACTAATAAAATCTTTCTTGCAAACAGATGATATCAACTTAGTGCGCTTTCTAATAGAGCCTCCTGCTTCTTTAATCTTTTCATCAACATTCTTTTGATGTTTCTGAACAGCATTAAATAACTGCACCACACCCCTGAAGAATATAATTGTGACCAGAACAATGTAGTTAAATAACAATTACACTAGAATACAAACTCTACGAAGAAGAAACAGTATATTTCACTGCCTAAAAAAGGGGGCAAGTACTTATTAGGCACTCAATGAAAAAATAAATAAATAAATGAATGGTTAAATACATCTGAAAAACAAACATACATTTCCGTTAACAAATATAAATTTCTGACTAGAGAATAAATATATATAAATTGTATAGGATTTTTATTTTTCACAGCTTTGGTTTTTCTAAGTCAACTGTTGTACAATAAGAAACAAGTTACTTTTAAAACAAAAGCTTATTTCTCAAAACATACACAATAGGTGAAGGCATTTATGGTGGAATAAAAGAGCACAGTCTTTAAGCATGTGATTCTAGAAAAGACTTGCTGCATCATAATTTCATCTATATATTAAAAACATACCTGTTTATTCAACTACATTATCTGCAACTCTTGTATTATAAAATTAATTTTAAATCCTATGTTTAGAGCTAGGAGCACAGCTCAGTGGTAGAGTGCTTGGGTAGAATATATGAGGCCCTAGGTATAATCCTCAGCACCTCCCCCCCCCATCCCACTTTTAAAGATATTTATTTTAAAAGTTTGAAAGTTCATTCAAAGATGAATTCTGAAGATTAAAAACAGTGTCCTATACAGAAGCACAATCCACATGTGATTATTGAGCATTTGAAAGATGACTGATCTGAACTGATGCATTGTGTAAATGTAAAATACATTCCAGAATTCTATGACTCAACATGAAAAAGAAATTCAAAATCTCATAAATAACCATTTTACACCAATTACATGTTGAAATATTTTGAATATACTGGGTTATATATTGAATATATTGGGTTATATATTATTGTTTTACTTTTTATATATATTTTGTTTTACTTTTTTCAATAAGGCTGAGGAAAATTTTACATTATACATGTGGTTCACATTATATTTCTACTGGACAGCAATGATTTAGACCATTAAGACCCATTCCAGTTCTGAAATTCTATAATCTATTCACTCTCTTTCGATAGTAATTCTTAGAAGAGGTAATCTGCCATGGGCTCAAGCATCTCTGCACTTTCTTGCAGAGTTTGTCAAGAGTGAAAGGCCCTGACTGCTCTTTACCCAGGACATTTCTCAGGGTTGTGTTTGAAGTAAATGACCTTGATGTGGATGTGTAACCGACATGATTCTGCAATCTGCATTTGGGGTAAAATTGGGAGTTCATAACCACTTCAATCTAATGTATGAAATATGATATGTCAAGAGCTTTGTAATGTTGTGAACAAATAATAAAAAAAAAAATGACCTTGACAGTTGAAGTAACGTCCCTCCACATAAACAGCTAATTAATAATCATTATAAGAGCAATAGATTCCCTAGCACAGTGTTCCTCTCCTTTAATGCAATGCAGTATATGTACAGGCAGCCATCTATGCACCTGCACTGTCCCTGTAGGACAAAGGGAACAAGTGAGAATGTGAAGCTCTGGCTACTGCTTTTATCATGAGTAATGAAGTCTTTTGTCCCTAACCCAAAATTCTCTTGCCTTTTACCAGCAGCTCAAAAATTTAATAGTCTAGCTGATTATCTTTAAAAAAGAGAGTCAAATGCTATCTCCTTCAGCAGGGCCATGACCAGGGTGAAACAAAAGAAGTGCTTGGTACAAATTTAAGGAAGCATTCACTCTCATAGGATGACCCTAATTTCTCTTAGTTATTTATATTTATTCTTACATTTAATTCTCAGAAAAAAACTCTATACGCTGGGTAAATTAGCCTCTTTTAACAGATATACTGAAGCAGTATGGTATGCCCAAGTACACAGAGCAAGTACAAATAATGAAATTTGAACCTAACAGTCTGATCCTATCACCCATGCCCTAAATCACTATACATAGCCATTTCACTATGTAACACCTCAATAGATCAAAAAATGACCAGAAATAATGTGGGTAACTAAGATTTTAAAATAAGTCACTAAGTACATTCTTTAAGTACCAATCCAAATGTTATCTTCTCTGTGAAGCCTTCCCATCTAACCTAGACAATCGCCTATGAATGTTCCCAACACACAGTACGTGCCTCTATTCTCAAAAAGACTATAAATTCTATACTTAAGAGGGTAAGGACCACCCACAGCCACCATATCCCATTTACCTTTGAACAGGGAGGTCACCAAATATTTGGTGCCCATAATAAAAAAAAAAAGTAGAGTGTAACAATAGCATGAAACTGCCATCATTTGCAATGTATTGTCCCATAAATATAGGGCAAAATAACAAAAATAATTATCAATTATCATAAATTTAGATAACCATCATAACAGAAATGCCTTAAGAAGTTTTACTTCTTAATGTTGTACACTGTTCTCATGACTACAAAAACAAGATGATCTGAAATAGGTTCATACTAAATATACACTTAACACATTATATTCCTGCTTTTAAAAGATCTCCAAAATCTTTGGTTGAATTTAGTGTTTAACAGGAGACTTAGATAAATATCACTTGGCTTGAGAAGGCAGAGCTTAAGAATCAAGTCTGATCAAAATTTTAGTCTACTTATTTTTAAAGGGCAAAAACTTTGTCTTACCTTGTTGCAATTCTCTGAAGATTTCTCTCTGTTTCTTTGTCTCTGACGACATCTGGCTTTACTCTGCACATCATTTCCCACTCCCGCTTCTTATCAAGCTGTGTTATAAATATTGTTATGTGAAAGAATATTAAGCATTTTTGAAAGTGCAGCAAACTTTGATATGATACTCTGTGAAAGGACAAAGGTAATAAATCATTCTGGCTTAGGTTGTCATAGAGACTTTTAAAAAACCACAAGTTTAGGGGTTCAGCTCAAAGAAACTGTGGTTAGCACTCAGCATGTCATGTGAGAGGCATAAAGTGAGTTTCTGTCAGGTTTCCTGACAGCAGGGGTCTGGAGCACTGCCAGTATGTTCAGCCAGGCCGTACAAGGTAGTGTGTAAAAGAGCCACATGCCTGATCTGCCATCAACAGATCATCAGAGGGAAGCGAAAGGAAGACTCCATACTAACTTCAAATTTAAGCACTGTTTCTCTTTACTTTCAGAAAGTGAATTCTTTGACAGAATAAAAATGTATTTCAGCTTTTTAAAGAATATCATATTTACATAGATATTCATTTAGTGACTACTATTCTCTGTACAAAATAATTTATATTTGTTTCTCCTCTTGCAGCACATTGACTAATATTCATGCCAGACATGGCCCATCAGTTACAAACTATAGCAATTTGATTCTCTGCTATTATGCAAAAATAGGAGAGGGGTTGAGAAGTAAGAAAGTCCTACACACAACATGATCTAGTTCAAAATGGTCTTTCAGTAGTATACTGGTCTCAGGATACTAATCAAGTCTCTTTCTCAGTCCAACATTTAACCAAAGAACAAATACGCTGGTAAGAACTAATCACCTAAAATCTACCAAGCATCAAAAGCATTCATATCAGTAATAAAGTGGAAAAAATATTTCCTTTTATTTCTTCCTTTTCTCACTTTATCTCTTATTTTATAATAAAGAAAATGTCTAACAGTTAACCAAATTCCTACTCTCACTATAAAGATCCACCTTTTTCTTTTCTAAAAAAATATTCTTCTCAAAATCAGACAATACATCTAATAGTCATGAAACTCACTATCGGATAAACAAGAAAAAAATATTTGTGATAATTTATATAGACTCCACTATAAAAATGCTTTTCAAAGAGCACTGTAGATGCTATGCTGTGTTTCTGGTATCAAGTGTTTGTCCATGCATTATGTGGACGCAGTACCATCCCTAGCACTCAAAGCTGTGACTTAGAGTAGTCATAAATTCATTCTTCTTGGCTTCAATATTCTGTTCTCCACCTCAATAGAACTTTGAGACTAGAGATGATTAAAGATTCTGATATCATTAAAGCTTCTTCTAGATTTTGCCAGAGAATAAACAAATATTGAAATTGCTAGTTAAAAAGCTATTGAGCTATTTGTAAAATTTAGAGACAAATGTATGCTCAATTATAATGAAACTACTGAATTAATATAAGAACCCACATTGTGAGTTGTTTTAAAGAGCAATGCTTGAAAAGTTCACTTTTATATAGCCTTCACACAGAGCAACCAGCAATAAGAACAAAGAAAACATTCATCTTGAAGCAAGGTGAGGGGATGTCAAACATAAAAGGACATACACACCAATTCAAAATTTGTTTTTTGTTCATTTCTACCTAGAAAGTTCTTCTTGGAAGTCAGTACTCCTATACTTCCAAAACAATTATACAAAATTATTTTTATTTCATTAGAAAATAATACTTATTTCAGTAATCAAATATTTTATACATGGATACAAGTACCAGGGATATAAAAACTACCACTGTTTCTTTTTAATAGTATAGAACAGCAAATTTATGTCCAACTTTTGGTCTTTAATAACTTTGTATAACTTCTATCATCAGTGGTTTAGCCAAAGCATAATAAATTCAAGTTTATCTAACAGTGAAATATTCACTTTTCAGAATTCAACCAACCAAGACTGTGAAATTTTCAGATTCATATTATAAAATATTTTTAGCAAAAGACTAATATGTTTCTATTAGTTCAGAACCTAATGATATCAGCATAAGGATGGCTAAAATTTATAAAATATTTAGACCCTGGAGTCACTGCATATATAAATGCTTAATTTTAAAATGATAAATTTTCAGACTTTATATTTCTATGGCTTGGTTTAGATGATTAAAAAGTGAACATGCTCAGGGCTGGAGTTGTGGCTCAGTGGTAGAGTGAGGTCCTGGGTTCGATCCTTAGTACCACATAAAAATAAACAAAATAAAAAAGGTATTAAAAAAAAAGTGAACATGCTCAATGGAGTAATGAAACTAAGTTTCTAAAAATAACCTTGAGTATCCATACCCACATAAAAAGCAAGTTAAAAACTAGAATATTAATTGTATACACACTGCAAGGAACGATATGGTACAGATAAGAACTAGATTAGACAGTTATTTAATCTATAAGACAACTGGTAAGACATACCTGTTTTCTTTTCTCTAGTCTTTCTTGCTTTAACTTCTCTTTTTCTTTTTCCAGCTCTTTGTTTTTGATGAGAATGGTGGGTTTACTTTTAGGAGTTTTTTTGTTAAGGATTTTAGCCATGGCATCTGCCCAGCCCACATTAGTCCCAGCACTTGATTCTGCAGCATTTTCATCTTCTTTGTCACAGGGTTCAACATCATCCTCATTGTCAGCTTCTATTGCTTCATCATCAGACATATGATCCTTTTCTGATTCATAGCTTCCTAACAGTAAAAAAAAAAATATTAAATTTTAGAAACATAAGCAGAGGTTGCCAAGATCATGACCAGACTCCTTGGGCCCTTCATAAAGCTTCACCTGCCTCTACGCTTATAAGGGACTTAGTTCTGATTGCCAAAGCTGCAGTAATAGCGGGGAACAGCAGGTACTTATATCCAAATGCTATCAGTCCCAAACACCTAGCCCAGTCACAGAGAGTGAAGTCACGGTGGCTTCAAGATCCAGGATCCAGGTAGCAATAACAAATCCAACATCCAACAGCCTCTGACACTTTATTATTATCAGGCCAGAGCAGGATGTACTCAAGTACATGAACCTTAGCTATGCCTCCAAACTACTAAAAGAGAATAATAAAGATTATGTTAAAAATAAATAACACCACAAATTTAATATATTAAGAAAACTGGTACAGTATTTAAAATTCTGAATCTGTATGTAGATAAATACTAAAGTCCAGATTCATATCATTTTAAAGAATTTGGATATAACATTATAAAACTTGTTTTTAACACTTTTGAAAAAAATTGTCTAATGATGTGACCAAGATACCAAAGATCCAATTGCATTAGTAACTGAATAAAAATATCAAGTTCTGAATTAAAAATACAAAGTTGTAAGTGTACTATTAATTTCATCATGCCAAACCTATCTAATCAAGTATATAAACGTTACCAGCATATTAGTTCATCATGTAAGATTCAAATGGCTAGGGTTAGGGGACTGGCAGAAGCAACAACAGTCGGTGGCTCTGCTAGAAAAATCAACTTGCTCAGCAACTCTGCATATTTTAAACTTAGCAGCCTTTCTCCACTTCTAAGATGAAATGTACTTTAACAAAGGCAGCACAAGCAGTCAGCACAGTGTGAGTACAATTATATTCTCCAGGGCCCTCTGGAGAGCTTTTGTTTTATTCTTTAGAAACCCATGGAATATAGGAAAGACTACAAAACAGAAAATCAACCAACAATTTAGTAACTTGGAATTCTTCTTAATAAGCAAAAGAAGAGCTAATAAAGGCAGCTGAAAAATTAACAAACAAGAAAACTTCGTGATTTACAAATAGTTGTCACTAGTAGTTATGTCTGGGTAACAAATGTGCTTTTTATGGTTGACTCCAGACTAGTTGAATCTCAGAGATTATTTCAAAAAATGCCATTACCTAAAACTTTTTTCCTATCAAAACATCTCTACTAAATAACAATATTAGGAATTAACAATACTGGTAATCTTATTGTAAACAGTAACTCCTATACATTAAAATAAAAATTAAGATAAAACTGAAAGGAAAAGGCGTAGGAATAACAAGTTTCATGCTGCTCCCTATTTAATCAAATTCTGATGTCCTCCTATCCAACTCAGAAACTTCATTCAAATATACAGGACTAAAAAGCAAACTATAGCTCTGACACACCAGTGAGACTGCTCTGGGCCCCTTTATCTCTACCAAAGCTAAGCATGGTAACCACAACCTCTGCTTCTACCTTCTGAAACATCTACTGGCTTATTATACTGGTACTTAAAAACTACCTGTTCTTCAATCTCAAGCTTTAGTTTCTTCTCTATGCAACAAAACGTGCATATTCTACCTTTAAATATATTCACCATTTTAATATCAGCTTATTGCATAATCAAAGAGGTAGACTATTAATTTCAGAGTGTCACCCTCTTATCTATTTACTTTAAGATGTGAATCAGCGACAACTCTTCTTTAGAACTGTAATTATAATATTTCAATTTGGGTATGACTTTTGTATAACACAAACTCTGCATTCCTAATTCAAAAATCCATATACAAAATATTTTGGAATTTTTTTGTGCACATGTTCTCAAAAGGTTTTGGATTTTGAAGTATTTAAAATTTTGTATTTTTGGATTAGGGATGCTCAACCAGTAAAGACTATGCAAATATTCCAAACTCTATAAAACTCTGACATACTTCTGGTCTCAAGCCTTACAGACAAGATATTCATACCTTTACTTTTTAAGTGCTGAGAATTCACAAAATGGATATAAAATTGAGTATTAACACATTTCAAATTAAAATTGGCCATATAAGAAAATAGCAAATAAAAACACATATCCAAAATGAACTTCAAGAATGAGTAAAAATGAATTTTAAAAAAATTAACTGAATATAACATAAAATTAAGAGTTAAACAAAAAAACAATATTTTACATTGTTTAAATACATGATCTTAAAACATAAAGGGTTTATGGTATGGAAAAATATTGAAAGAAATGTTAAAAGCAAGAAACATTTTATAATTTTATTACTATGATGGAGCTGTGCATTTCTTAATGAAGAGAAATTATATTTTTAAAACAGAAACTTGTTTATTTAATTTGAAGTTTTTCTATACATTACAGTTACGTCAATTTAAGAAGTTTAGACAGTGAGTCTAAGTTTGACATCCAAATATATGTAATATTAGAATATGTATATTCTAACATTACAATATAAGAATATACATATTCTAACATTACAATATTAGAATATACATATTCTAATATTACAATATTAGAATATATATATATATTCTAATTATATATATTATAAATGAATGTTTGGAAACATTCATTTATAATATATAAATGAATGTTTCCAAACAGAAGCTGGTAGCATTTTATCCAATCCAATTAAAATATACTCATATATTATATGCCAGACTGTAGGGCCACACAATTTTTCCCCAGGAAACATCTCCTAGGACCAGAACATTGTGAAACACAGTTCAGAGAAAATAGCTAGTTGAAAAATAAATGTTAATATTACATATACTTTAGTCCTCAGTTAGCAGCACCAAACTCAAATAACAAAATAATTCTTTGAAAAAAATGCTTTCTCTAGTAAGCATGTATCTAACTGTAAAGAGACACAAATATTTAAAAGTTTATGTCAATGAAAACTATCTGAATGATCAAAAGCAGAAAGATCTTTTCCAACTCCTGATAAAACATCAACTACAACAGTGACATCTAGTGTTTCATCCTGATGTACTTACATACAAACTGCAGCAAACTTCACACTTTTTAATGGCACTAAAACGTAGCCCAAATGCTTTGATTATGTAAGCCACTCCAATTCACCACTCTGAAACCCTGTCTTAATTGTCTGATGTACTTCTTACCCAGCTAAACCACATATGCATATTATACTCACAATAAATCCATGAAAAGTTTTATGACACCATATTACATAAGCTATACTCACCCTACGAATTAAAAATTATTTTTTAAAAATTTGCAAAAGTCGGGGTTGGGGATACAGCTCAGTTGGTAGAGTGCTTGCCACGCATGACAAGGCCTGGGTTCAATCCCAGCACCACAAAAAAAAAAAGAAGAAGAAGAAGAAGAAGAGGAGAAGAAGAATTTGTAAAAGTCATGGTTTTTATTTTATCTATTTATTTATTTTTAAAGCTCTAGCTCAGAGGCCTTTAGTATGACATTTACTGTCACTAGAAACGATTACGTATAAATAAATGAAAAAAGCCAAATTTGGTCTCCCAGTATACTATAAACAGGATTTACTTCTAGGATACCAAAAATTACCATTATGTGATTCAGAAAGTAAAACTGGTTCTTAAAACTTTACTGTATTCTACTAAAATGAAATTCTTCTAATTTTCCACTAACCAATTTTTAACAGCAAAAGTTTATCCAGGCATCTTAGGGGCACAGATAGAAATCACCAAACAAGTGAAAAATCCTTTGAACTCCTTTTGTCTGTTTTCCTAAACATTATTTCTGCATTCTATTTTAAAAGTCTAGAAATTAAGTAAGGGCTAGAGAGGATGTGTATTGGAAGTAATGACAAAAATTTCTGATCATGGCAATATTCTATCTACACCAGAGCTACCCTGGAGCCACCAACCACAAGAGGCTACTGAATACTTCAAACATGTCTAGAATGACAGAGGAGCTGAATTGTCTATTTTGAGTAATTTGAATTAATTTACATTTAAGTAGCCACATATGGCTGGCTAGTGGCTAACATACTGGATAGAGAGCAGGGTTATATCTCTGAGGTACTGAGTTAGACATAAGGTATTTTTCGTCTCCTGTTGCCTTTCCTCTCAAACCTCCAGTCCCTTTCAAACTTGCCATCTGTCCCTAATCCCAGATATGGTTAGCTGCTAGCAGAAAAGTCAGCCATTTTCCTTAGCCTTTAAAAAGGGTAAAAGTTTTAAGAGGATTCATAGTCTCCTCAACATTTATTGAGCAGCCATGAAAGATGGGCAAGGAAGGAAAAGTAAATGATAAATCTAAATCTAGGAGAAGGGGTTATAGCTCAGTGGCAGAGTGCTTACCACACCTGTGTGAGGCACTGCATCCAATCCTCAGTAGCATATATAAATAAAAATTTAAAAATAAAATAAAATAAAGATTTAAAACAATTTTTTAAAAAATCTGAATCTAGGTTTCTCTCCCTGGGAAATCTGTGTGTTTTTTGTTTTTGTTTGTTTGTTTTTAAGAAGACAGGAAAAAAAAAAAGGATGAAGAAAGGGTGAGAGGTTTGGAAAGATGGCTTAGGGAGTCTGACAAAGATGATCAAGTTGTTTCTTAAAAGGCAAAACAAGAAATTTGGATGACAACAGAAGGGAGGAGTGAAAGAATTAAGGTTCTATAATCCAGGTTGACTAATCAAGGGAGGAGGCAAGGTCACTGAGCTTAGAACCAATGCTTTATATGAAAATAAAAATTATCATAGAAATCATATTACTTTTGGCATTCCAGGCAGGAGAGATCAGCATGTCCGAAAGCATAGGAATATTATGGAAGATGAAATAAAATGATAAATATATCAGACTTTGTATTTTCCAGAAATATAATACATATTAATCCCAAAATTAAAACCTAGTAGTATAAAAGCTTCATGCTTCAGATATGTGCTTCCAATAAAAGGCCAAACTGCTAGTGGCTTTTTTCCCCAACACTTCCTTTGGTCCTTACTTTTAAAGTTTCTCCTTTAGGTTATAAAATTATT